ATATCTATGATAAAATTAAATAAGAATGGGGATAGTGGGCATCCTTGACGGACACCACTTGATGAGTATAGCTCCCTGGACAACTCACCATAGGCTCTAACATGCCCACAAGTGTTCGAGTAGAGAGCTTTCAATAAGGTGATGTACTTACTAGGCACGCCTTTCAGTGACAGACACTGCCATAAGACTTCTCGATCAACGGAGTCAAATGCCGCCTTCAGGTCGAGAAATACAGCTATTGTCGGGCGTCTGTAAGCATGCCTATGTTCCAGGACCTGGCGCAGTGTGAATATTTGGTCGATACATCCACGGCCAGGTCTAAAGCCTGCCTGGTTTTCTCGGGCTTGGTGTTCCCGAGCTTGGGATTTGCGAAAGCAGATGGAATGGGAGTGGACTCTCCAAACTGTCAACTGGAGAATCAATAATCTACTCCGGTATTGTCACCCAGACGACAACCACGAGCACAATGAGTTCTGGAGTGGCTATCATGATGTCCCTAACAGCATCGAAGGCTCTCTAGCATGCAGTGGGAACCAATCTCCTCCTGCTGGATCATGACAGCAAGATGGATTCAACTCAAAAGGAAGAAAGGTCACAATCATACAATGTTATGCACCTACAAATAATGCAGAGCAAGAGAAAAAGGAGGAATTCTACAGACAACTGCAATCAACACTGGACAAGACCCCAACTCAGTTGGCTGTATCAAAATTCTAATGGGCGACATGAATGCCAAACTGGGAGGGGACAACACAGGAAGAGAACTAACCATGGGTCGAGAAGCTCTCGGTGAGGTGATGAACGAGAATGGAGAGTTGTTTGCAGAATTCTGTGCATTCAACGATTTCGTGATTGGAGGCAGTGTGTTCAAGCACAAAGATATCCACAAAGTGACGTGGATTCGAGTTCACCAGATGGACACACTAAAGATCAAATCGACTTTATCTCAATCTCAAGAAAATGGAGACGCAGTCTACTTGACACAAGGTCAAGAAGAGGAGCAGATGTAGGTTCACATCACTCACTATCTAGTGCAAGGAACCTTCCAAATCAAGTTGAAAGCCTTCAATGAAGCTGATGATAGACCACAGTTCAAGTACAACACTCGGAAACTGAAGGGTGAAACTACAAAGGAAATCTTCACGTCAGTCACCAGGACAAAATGAGAGATATCGAGCAGCATCCCTGAAGAAACCTGTGTGGATGAGCACTGGAACTCTTTGAAAGCTATATGGAAAGAAACCTACATAACCTTATTAGGAAGGAAGAAGCAAGAAGATAAGCAATGGATCTCGATGGACACATGGGAGCTGACAGAGGAGGGAGAGGAGGATGGTGAAGCAGAAGATAAACCAGTGCAAGGATGCTCAACGACAAGAGGAACTGAGCACAATGTATAAAACACTACACTGGACAAAGAAGTGAAGAAGACTGCACGGAAAGACAAAAGACACTTCTACGAAACACTGGCAAGTGAAGCAGAACAGGCTGCAGGTAGGAGAGATAGAGACCTGACAACATTGTATCAAATAACCAGGTTGCTATCAGGGAAGAGACCAACACAGATGAAACCAATAAAAGACGAAGAAGGAAATTCAATTACAAAAGAAGAGAAACAGAGGAAACGATGGGCCGACCACTTCAAGAAGCTCTTGAATCAACCACCACCACCACCTGCACTTCGTCCAGAAATACCACCTGCAGCCCAGCCATTGAACTACAAGTGAACATAAATCCTCCAACAAAAATGGAAGTCCTGAACACCATAAAGCTACTGAAATGTGGGAAAGCAGCAGGACCAGATGGGATCCCGCCAGAAGCACTGACAACAGATGCAGAGACAACAGCGGACATGCTCACACCACACCACTATTGCAGAAGGTGTGGAAGGAAGAGAAGGTACCTGGCCATTGATTGGAAGAGGGGTTACCTTGTCAAACTCCCGAAGAAGGGAGACCTCAGTGCTTGCAAGAACTGGCGAGGAATTACTCTCCTGTCCACCCAGAGCAAGCAAACTATTAAGCCGCATCATCCTGGAGAGACTAAAGGATGCACTGGAATCAAAACTGCGACCGGAACAAGCAGGCCTCAGGAAGTACAAATCATGTGCAGACCAAATTGCAACGCTTCGCATCATCATAGAACAGAGTATAGAATGGCAGTCAACTGGATCTTTACCTCAACTTCATCGACTTTGAAAAGGCCTTCGACAGCGTCGACCAAGAAGTAATTTGGAAACTGCTCCAACACTACGGAGTACCGCAAACCTTTATCAGCCTCATTCAACAACTATATGAAGATGCCACATGACAAGTAATTCACAATGGGAAGCTCAGCTCAGTGATGCCTTTGAAGTGAAGACAGGCAGGAGTGAAACAAGGTTGCCTACTATCCCCCATGATATTCCTGATTGTGGTCGACTGGATCATGAAGCAAACAGTGGGGAGCGAGAAGAGGGGGATACGCTGGACGACGGAAAAGAACCTAGAAGACTTGGATTTCGCCAACGATGACTTGTGCCTCATGTCACATAAACTTGAAGATCTACAGGCGAAAACTAACAAGTTGACAGAAGAGGCGAGGCAGCGAAGACGGGACTTCAAGTGAATATAGAGAAGACAGAGGTGATGAAGATACCTCACCACCAACAACAAACTCCAATCACCATCAATGGGAGAAACTTAAAGGAAGTAGCCTACTTCACCTATCTAGGCAGCACTGTTTCAACTACAGGCGGCACAGGCACAGACGAGGATGTAAAAGCTAGTCAGAATCGAAAAAGCAAGACAGGCGTTCATTAGCCTGAAACCAGTGTGCAGATCTTCTGCACTCAGCATAAAGCGTGAACAAGATCCGGATTTTCAACACCAACTCAGTCAAGTCAGTGCTTCTGTATGGTTCAGAGACTTGGCGCGTCACGAAAGGCATTTCCAATAAACTACAGACATTCATCAACAACTGCTTACGCTCACTCGCTACTGAAGATCAGATGGATTGCCAGAAGAATAAGCAACAAGGAGCTCTGGGAACGAACCAACCAAGAACCTATCACCCAACAAATATGCACTGTAAGGAAGTGGAGATGGATTGGGCATGCACTGAGAAGGCCGACGGGAGACATCACGCATCAGGCCAGTTGCTCGAGTGGAATCCCCATGGGAAGCGACGAGTTGGACGTCCTAGGTGAGGGTGACATGGAGGAGATCGTGCGATGAGGAAATGAGAGCTTCTGGGCTGTCGTGGAACCAGGTTCAAAAGATCTCAGAGAACAGAAGTCACTGGAGACGTGCTACTGAAGCCCTATGTTTCACTAGGAACCCAAGGTCTAATAATAATAATAGTAATAATAATAATAATAGACTAAAACATAGCATCAGTCCTTGAAGTCTTACGCTAATGGTCTGAGTCAAGTATGAAATGCGAAATTTCCAGTTGCGGTCCGCATAACAACAGAAACTAGTGGTTAAGAACTATACGAAATGGCTTAGAATCGATCTCAGTAAAACAGAAGTAACTTCACACTGGCTTTATTTTAATCGTCAAGTTGAATTTCCCTATTCCTTCGTTCAACCTTCCTTCTTTGATGACTTCGTACCAGTTTTGACTGTTCTCCTCCCTACTTTTTTATCTTCCATCTGAATGCATTCTCGCTTGACGTGATGTCAGGCGTGGCTAGTTGGATTGTTATGCAGTAATGCTAAATTCTATGGTGATACTTCTTCGGTAACAAAAAAGTGGATAGTCAGGTTTTAGGTGGTGTCTTCACCGAAAGTGTTAGAAATGGATATAATGCCTAGTCTCTCGGCGTTTTGAAACAATGTGAATCATCAATATACTTGGAATTAAATGTTAGGGTTCGAAGAGTTTTTTAAAGTTCAGTATTACAGAATTAACCATAAAAGTGGATAGTATAAATTATAACTTCATAATTCTCAAATCCTCCAAACTTATAAAACATACCAAATGTAGAAGACACAACATACCTGAGAACTAGCGCAAATTTTCATGGAAAGTATATTCACATTTTGAAAAATGAACGCCGTTAGCCACACAGGTATCGGTTTGGCTTAACAACAAACAGGCCAAGAGTACTTCATAAGTTGCTGGACGGTGTGAAGAATTACACCAGCAAACTATTTCCAAAATCAATAGTCTAGAGCTCGACGAGATTCAACATTGGTGCTAACGTTTTGAGTTTCGACCGAATGGCTAGGCTGAAGGCGTGTGGTCAAGCATCCACTCTACTTGGCACATTACTGGGTTACATTGCAATGCTCATATGCGACCCTCGAACCAGGTAGAAGAAGCGCATCGGTATTTTCGCACGTCCTATCAAATATACTATTTCTACCTAATTGCACTGCGTCGTTTCTGGAGTTGTGGCTCATTCGTCTAGGTATTTAATTCCCAACTAATATGGAACGGATTCAAACTCCATTCCAACTCCAAAGGTTTAGGCAGCCAGGTAATATCATTAACCTTCACAAAAATAGTTGTGGCTTCTTGCACACTGAACATTGTTGCTGAATATATTTCGACTCCCCTGATCTCCCACCCGTGGGTATTTTACAAGTACGAAGAACTAATGACTGTTCTCTGCATCTGTCAGATTCTCGTAAGGAGAATTCCTGAAACCTTTTTATTCTGTTGACGACCCTACTATCTTATTTAACACACTCCAAATAAAGTTTAACGCGTTTCAAGTGTTCGGCAAGTGTGGTTAATGGACCATCGTCCTTAGGTACATAGTCAGCTAAAGGTTACTCCTATCACCTTTGATCAAGGTTTAGCATAGGAAAGATGAATCAGTATTCTTAATTTTTTAAGTTACATAGTATATATATATATATATATATATATATATATATATATATATCTTTATATGGGTACATACCCACATGTGCGTTCCAACTTAAAATACACCATTTATTTTGGCAACTACTGTGGTCCGACTTTCAATACTAATATGCACAACACCTGCATGACAACCGAAAACTTACCAAGTATTTTTTACTAGAACCAAAGTTTTCCGAAACCACATCTATTCGTTTGGCCTTAACATCAATGATAGACTCCTCAACAACTAGAACCTGGCCTTTTGGGATAAATCTCAGCATGAATTTTGGAATTCTTTTCGAGATCTTAATTACTAACCGTTTAGTATACAACTTCCCATCTGGTAGAAATCTCCTTTCCAACACGTCTTCAGATAAGACATGTTTCCTAACAACGTACATAAGATTTGGAAATAAGGACATACGCATATGGATTTGGATAACGCTCCCAGAATAGTGATGTTACAAATCCCAAGGAAATGACAAATATTGTGTTACACAGACAGTCATCAGGATAAGCAACGCACTGATGTAAAGAGGGCGCTCCAACATTCAATATCTTTCTACGTGCTAGTATCCAATATCTTTTAACGAGCTAGTGCAAACCAATTGATCTCTTTGCGCTCACCCCTAGGTCTTGCGAAACGGTTTCAGGTCTTTGGTGGATTCCAATGCAGTAGGTCTACCCACTCGACTGCTGTAGCTCTGGTTAGCCCGTCGGGCGGTTGGGTGTTGTTTATATTTGTAGGGAGTGTTGTTTGTTTGTTTGCTTTTCCTTCCGAGGACTGTGGTGCAGATGGGTTCCTCACATGTAGTGCCATCAGACAATTGGTCGGACTGGTTGTAAAAAGGAGATGAAAAATCAAGGGAGAGAAAGTGCAGAGACAGACAAAATAGAAAAAGAAAAGGAAAAAAGGAAGAAGAAGAAGAATATATATTTGAAAAGATTAGGAAAACGGAAACGGCACGGAAGAATAAACATTGGTGAGTTCATGGGGAATATGTGGTAGGGAGAGCTTTTGTTAAAGTCCGAGAACGTAAAGTCAGAAGTAAGAAGAATAAATAATATGATAGGACGAACGGAAATATAGTAATTCTTTTAGTAGAGGGTGGCAACTGGAGGGGACGTCTACAGGAAGGTATAAGGTTAAGCCAAGTTCTCAGTGATAGTGGTTTTACAAAGTGTTCAGTAACGGTTGGTCATACCGAGTTAGAAAGTCGTGTTAGCCTAGTCCACATCCCAGTTGGATGAGCGCAAACCGTGCGTCTCTGCGTAACTGTCCAACCTCCTTTTGAAGCCGTCAGCAGACGGAACAGTAGCAATCTCGGCAGGCAATGCGTTTCAGTGGCCGCAAACTCGCAGAGAGAAGAAGTGTGATCGCACACGGGTTTTCGCTCTTTGATGAGCGATCCTCCTTGGGTTACTACGAGGATTGCCACAGTGGCCGCTCGGTAGGATTCCATTGTTCGGATGACTTGGGTAACTGAGTATTTTGTAAGCCGTTATCAAGTCACCACGTTATCTGCGGTAGCTTGGGGAGAGGAGCCCTAGATCTTTCAGCCTGTCCTGATATGGTTTTTGCCTCATTCCCACGACACCCTTCGTAGCTCGCCTTTGGACTTTCTCCAGGAGGTTCACATCTCTTTTCAGATATGGTGGTGCAGTGACGTTGTGTACCTCCAGGTGGGGTTGTATATAGATCTTATGCAGGTTCAAAAAGAGTTCCGGGGTCAGGGCACCCAACTGTCTGTGCATGAAGTGTCCAGTTTGTCAGTCAGTATTAGTCCCAAGTCTTTCTCTGTAATGGTGTGGGAAAGTTGTGTTCCACAGAGAGAATAGGGTACCTTTTGAGAGTCTGGGGTGCGGAGAAACATGGCTTGGCATTGATCTAGGTTAAACGCAAGCCCATTAATATCCACCCACTCTGCAAGTAACCTGAGATCATTTCGCAGTGCACCTGATTCTGTTTCTGACACCACAGCTCTCCATAGCTTAACGTCATCAGCGCAGAGTAGAATCCGGGAGCTGAGATTCAGTGGGAGGTCGCTCACAAAAAGAAGGAATATCAGCGGACCCATAATCGCCCCTTGTGATACACCAGGTGATGACGTCCTCCAAGTCGAGCAAACTCCATCGGCTTTTGTGCAGAATTGTCTACCGTCTGGATAGTCCTGCAACCATGAAGGCGCTTGTCCCTTGATGCCAAATCTTTCTGTTTTGTGAATAAAAATGGTGCGTGGAACTGTGTCGAAGGCCTTAGTAAAATCCGGGAAAATAACATGGGCAGGAATTCGGAGGTCCCAGTATGCCGTTCACTTATCACCAGCCGCCAGAATGTTTGTGGCACAGGACCTACCCTTTCTGAAGCCATGCTGTGCATCACTAAGTGCTCCCCTCCCTCCTAAGTACTCCCTGAGATGGTCGTCTACCAGACTCTCCATTGCTTTTGATGCCAATGGTAGGAGGGCTATGGGCCAGTAGCATTTTGGGTTCTGCCTGTCTCCAACTCTGAAGATGGGGGACAGAACAGCACTTTTCCATTCTTGTGGAAGCATGTGATTGTCTAAGGAGTGCTGAAACAAGTTACACAGTGGACCGCACAAGGCACCCGCGCATTGCTTCAGCACAGCCGGTCGGATGTCATCACACCCTGGTGATTTCCCTGAGCGGAGCTTTGGCAGTTTTTCGGGGACCATAGCAGGAGTTACCTCCATTCCAGGTAACTCCACTGCCTTTGGTGGTGCTAATGTCGGCCGGACGGCTGGCAATTTTGGTTCAATAGGGAGTTATCCGGTTGCGTATCGAAGGCGGAGCTGAAGGCTTCGGCGATCTCTAGTCCGGAGAGGTTCTCTTGTTCAGGCCTTTCAGGACGCAGGCCCCCTGGTTGGTGGATTTTCCGCCCGTCATAAATCGATATAGGCTTCTGGGGTTCACCTCGAGCCCCTGGCCAAGGTTCATCTGGAACGACCTCCTGTCTCCCCTCACTCTGATGTTGCATGGATTTCTTACGGCCATGCATGCGTTGTGGTCAGATTCGTTTCTGGAGGTCCTCCACTTATGCCATGCTTTCCTCTTGGCTTTCAAAAGGCGTTCAGTGCCTCGCTTCAACCATGAGGTTCGTTTCCGCGGTATTGCTGTGATTACCGGGACGCTTTCGCAGACAGCCCTCTTGATGATATCTCTGACTAGTTCCTAATGTTGGTCAACAGACAGGTTGCTCCACGCCTGAGGCCATGGTGCTGTCGACAGATATTGGTTCATCGCCACGGAGTTCTCTTTGTTGTAGCAGAGACGAGGGCGCGATCCCTCTCATGACAGTTGTTCGGAGAGTACAGGGTAGAACACTTCCACTCCATGATAGCTGCTGCTGAGGGGGCTTGAACCTGTGCATTTCCTGCCAGCACTGGGTCACTGGTAAAAAGGTAGTCCAGTTTGGACTGCTTTCCGCCCGACCCTCAGCCAGTGTCATCACCAATATTCTCGTGCAGCCCAGCCTTTTGGACAGTGTTGAGTAGGTTTCTGTCGAACCTTCGGCTTGAGGTTTCCTTGCCCTGCCCAAGATTGAGAGTCGGAGCATTAAAGTCGCCGGCTATAATGACCCGGTCATATCCGATGGACGTCGCTCGGGACATAACTTGCAGCAGTTGTCGGTCATCTTCCATGCTGCTAGTAGGTGTTCTGTAGACGCCTCCAACCAGGTACTTGGTGTGTCCAACCTTAAGTTGACACTAGATGGAGTCTGGAGCTCTGAAAGTAGGGTTTCAGTTACTCGTTCACTTTCAATGTTATCACTTATAAGCATCGCCACTCCGCCTCCTTCCTTAAACTCCCTGTCTCTCCTGAGCAGAATCATACCGCCTATATTAGTTTCGACGTCGCTAATGTCCGGTGATGACCAAGTTTCTGTCAGGAATATGATCGTTGGAGCAAGGTAGGAACAGAGAAATCGTAATTCCCCCATTTTACTTGTAAATCCCCTCACATTGACGTAAAGACACTTAGCTATGTTTCCAACGACAAGGGGTATCTTGGTGCTGGCAGACTGGAGGGAGTCGTGCGTAGTGACGAAACTTGCTGTAGGACGGTCAGCTCCAGTGGAACCGGCCTAATCACTTTTTTCCCACAATGGTTTCTGGGGGTTTCATAGAGTCCAGGCTTGATTATGCATCTTGTCTGTTGACAGTGTTGGTGACTTCAGCGGTGGGCGGTGCCGCCATTTGCTGTTGTCGCAGTGTCCTGGGCCTGCTTTCATAGTGACGAACATTCCCACTGATGTTACCTTTTACTCTGTACCAAGTTTGCAGTACACTGGCTAAAAGTTCTTGACGGCCGGAGTTAACAACCATCGACCTGGGTGCCGTTATCGTCGTCAAATGTGAGATACTTGGAAGTCTGCAGACCGCCGCCGCTATCCCATTTAGCCCCATTCTCGCTGACAACCACCGCCATTGCCGGACGTCGTGAGCACACTTTTCTACGACTGTGCCCGTTGTCAGTTCCGGTATGCCGTGGAAAACCATAGTTGTTGGTTTCAGCGTTTGGGGCGCTTCGTGAGATACTTTCCTTGCTGACCAAGGGCGGTCTGGTCCGGCTCTAATGCTGGATGACCTGTTGATGACTAGCGTGTGTGCCATCAGCAAGAATATTTCCGCTTCTTTGGCCGAGCTTAGGGTAACTCTCATTGGCGGAGGCTTTCCCTGAGGTGGGCAGTTGCCTTTGTAGAGCCTGCATAGTTTTGCCTCTAGGCCATCCACTCCTAGTTTGGTGCATATGGTTTCCCATTTCTGCTTGTCAAGTGATTCTCTGTTCTCAAGGAGACTATTACGGCACACAGGGATGTTAAATAAGATGACGGAGTTCGATCTGCCATCAGCTTCTGTATTTTCGTGTGCTGTGGGTGGTTTTTTGTGGGAAGGGGGCACCTTCTTTTCCACTATCACCAATTTTTTCCGTTGCACAGTAGGGTAAGCCTCTGAAGCGTCTTCAGGGTCAGGGGCGAAGGCAGTTGGTCACGTACCCGGTCGTCATTTTGGTCTCTCTGGACTATTCACCAGTGTGACTGGCCGGGGTACAGTGCTGACACTCTTGCTGCTTGGGCCTGGGTTGTGGTCTGTGTGGGTGCCGGCATCACAGTAGTCACTGTGATGTCTTTTACGGCCTCCATCAGCGAGCCTTTAGAAAAGAGTGGCCTTATACGGCACTGTGGGCAGATGTACCAGAACCTCGTGCATGGGTAGCACGCCATGAAAGTGTAATATTGGTCTGGTATGTCCTCGTAACACTGACTGTGCACCCACTTATTGCAGATGTTACACTCAAAGGCAGCATCCCTCTGGACTACAGTGAGACCACATATATGACAGTCGTCAGCCTGACTAGAAGGTTTGGTTAACGACTTTCTTTTCCTTCTCTTCCGTCTCTCAGTGGTAGACTTCACAGGTAGACTAGGATTTGGGCTTGTGGCACCAGAAAGACGTGCTCGTTGATGAACCACGGCACAACGGTTCACAGGGACAGGAATTCGACTTTTCC